TCCAACGAATAGAAAAAAAAAATTACTGCAGGAAATTAATGCAATTTTAAATGACATCCCGACTGGGCTAATTAAGGATACTGTAACTGACATGTCATCTGACTAAATTATCTGAAGACTTATAATTTAATTAAGTCAATTATAGCACTCTAAGATATATTGTACTATTTATGCTTATAACAACTTGCTTGAGAAACAACAGCAAAAAAAAATATAATAATGATGCTATTGTTTTCTATAATAATTTAATTTACCCTAATTTCTATAGTATTTGTATAAATTTCTATAATTTTGAAAAAATATATTTGCTGATAAATTTTCATATCGTACGCATCGAAACATACAAATAAATTTATTGCTTGTTCGGATAAAAAATTCAATAATTACTTCTTCCTCATCATTCTCTCTCTCTCTCTCTCTCTCTCTCTCTCTCTCTCTCTCTCTCTCTCTCTCTCTCTCTCTCTCTCTCTCTCTCTCTCTCTCTCTCTCTCTCTCTCTCTCTCTCTCTCTCTCTCTCTCTCTCTCTCTCTCTCTCTCTCTCTCTCTCTCTCTCTCTCTCTCTCTCTCTCTCTCTCTCTCTCTCTCTCTCTCTCTCTCTCTCTCTCTCTCTCTCTCTCTCTCTCTCTCTCTCTCTCTCTCTCTCTCTCTCTCTCTCTCTCTCTCTCTCTCTCTCTCTCTCTCTCTCTCTCTCTCTCTCTCTCTCTCTCTCTCTCTCTCTCTCTCTCTCTCTCTCTCTCTCTCTCTCTCTCTCTCTCTCTCTCTCTCTCTCTCTCTCTCTCTCTCTCTCTCTCTCTCTCTCTCTCTCTCTCTCTCTCTCTCTCTCTCTCTCTCTCTCTCTCTCTCTCTCTCTCTCTCTCTCTCTCTCTCTCTCTCTCTCTCTCTCTCTCTCTCTCTCTCTCTCTCTCTCTCTCTCTCTCTCTCTCTCTCTCTCTCTCTCTCTCTCTCTTTGTGTTGTTGTTCTCTCTCTTTCTAGTCCGATGCTGCCGTTGTCTTTCTCTTTCTGCGCTGGCAAACGTCTCTCTCTCTCTCTTTCTTTCTCCCACGCCGATGTTTACGTGGGTCGACGTTCTCTCGGCACAACACGGACGGACAATTGTGAAGGTAGAATGAGAGAGATGGAAAACACTGCGTGCGATCTCTTCCTGCGGAAAAACACCGTTGTCAACAGTCGGAAATACTGGAGATTTTCTTCCGAATGAGAAAAATCTTACTGCGAGAGACTACTTCTCCTCCCACGACGAAAGGATACCCGTTGTCGTTCTCCGATAATTAGCTCGAGCCGCTCTCGTCTAACTCTCCTTCTCTCGCCGCCGACACGTCAACAATAATATACGGCGCGGCGCGTGTATATATACGTCGTATCCGGCGACGTGACCCAGCCGTGCGTAATCGGACGGGACGCGCGTGATTCACTGGATAAATACGCGCAAGGAGACGACACCCTCTTTACTCTTTCACTTATAACGTATATACGCGCCGCTCTTACTCGGTTACTTTCGAAATGACAGACGACGACGACGACGACGATGACAAGAGTGGTGCATCGAAGCGCGTCCGGCTGTTGAATGAATGTCGCGCGACTAATCTACGCGCATAAACAAACGCACACTAGCGCGCCGCGCAGCAGGTACGTATACACACAGGTATGCAGCACACATACACGCAAATAGAGCGACGCTACGCGCTACACCAGCAGCGCATTGTTTTGCTTCCAGCAGACGATCGAACGCCCGAATCCTCGACGTTCTCTCTCTTTCTCTTTCTCTCTCACCTCGACGACGAATCAGGGTGACGGGTTGCACAACGCGCGCATACGCTCGTCACACGCACCGACCCCGCTCCGATGAGGTAATGCACCAGGGGAGAGAAAGAGGAGAATCCGTGCACGGTGAGAGCGAGTTGATGATTCGCTTCGACTCTCTCTCTTTGTGTTGTTGTTCTCTCTCTTTCTAGTCCGATGCTGCCGTTGTCTTTCTCTTTCTGCGCTGGCAAACGTCTCTCTCTCTCTCTTTCTTTCTCCCACGCCGATGTTTACGTGGGTCGACGTTCTCTCGGCACAACACGGACGGACAATTGTGAAGGTAGAATGAGAGAGATGGAAAACACTGCGTGCGATCTCTTCCTGCGGAAAAACACCGTTGTCAACAGTCGGAAATACTGGAGATTTTCTTCCGAATGAGAAAAATCTTACTGCGAGAGACTACTTCTCCTCCCACGACGAAAGGATACCCGTTGTCGTTCTCCGATAATTAGCTCGAGCCGCTCTCGTCTAACTCTCCTTCTCTCGCCGCCGACACGTCAACAATAATATACGGCGCGGCGCGTGTATATATACGTCGTATCCGGCGACGTGACCCAGCCGTGCGTAATCGGACGGGACGCGCGTGATTCACTGGATAAATACGCGCAAGGAGACGACACCCTCTTTACTCTTTCACTTATAACGTATATACGCGCCGCTCTTACTCGGTTACTTTCGAAATGACAGACGACGACGACGACGACGATGACAAGAGTGGTGCATCGAAGCGCGTCCGGCTGTTGAATGAATGTCGCGCGACTAATCTACGCGCATAAACAAACGCACACTAGCGCGCCGCGCAGCAGGTACGTATACACACAGGTATGCAGCACACATACACGCAAATAGAGCGACGCTACGCGCTACACCAGCAGCGCATTGTTTTGCTTCCAGCAGACGATCGAACGCCCGAATCCTCGACGTTCTCTCTCTTTCTCTTTCTCTCTCACCTCGACGACGAATCAGGGTGACGGGTTGCACAACGCGCGCATACGCTCGTCACACGCACCGACCCCGCTCCGATGAGGTAATGCACCAGGGGAGAGAAAGAGGAGAATCCGTGCACGGTGAGAGCGAGTTGATGATTCGCTTCGACGGGGAGATAGTATCTCGCGCACTCCCACTTTCGAATTAAATATATATGTGTGTGTATATATATATATTATATGTCAGAGTTCGAGAATGTCTTACTTACTATACCTTGTATCTCTTATTCTTTTTTTATCGAGGTAGTTATTACAATTCCGTACGCGGTTTATCCTTGTTTCTCACGGTTGTGACGAAACTAATCGAAGCAGGCACGCCTCGTAGAGTTTCGACTCCGAGTATCGGTTGATTACCGGCGTCGTACTCTCCTTACAGATTTCGAGGTAGTCTTGATACTCCGAGATAATTCCACACTTGTTCTCCGGTGAAGAAAATTCTCAGGTGTATCGGATTGTCGACGCACTTCTCGTATAACAGAATGTACACACGGCGCGTTAGTTGTTAAATGTTCGCTCTCTCTCTCTCTCTCTCTCTCTTGTTTCGCGTATCCGCGTTTCCCGTCGTTATTTACTGTTTCGCGCGACAGGCCAACTCTCTTCGCGCACGCGAGCGAAGTCTACGACAGGCTTGAACGAGTTCGAAAGAGCGAAGAGCGAGCGGTCATCCGTTCGCGTCCGCCAGCCATGAACCTTCTACTCTGTTATTATTGTTTTGGTCGGGCGGCGCATGCGCGTCGCCTGTCCCACTCCGTCTGCCCGGCGCCCCTCCGACCCCGCGTTCGTGTAAACAAACCGTTAACTCACGAGCCCCGGCGAATCGATAATACTCCTCGCCACGCCACTTCCCCGTTCCGTCATCTTTTTCTTTTCTCTCTCTCTCTCTCTCTTTCTTGCCAATCTATCTTTTTCCCTCCCTCCTCTCCGCCGCCGTTCGTTGTTCTGTTCACAGGGAAAACGAGCATGCATCGCGGCGTTCGAATAAATTACGGCCTTTCTCTCTTTCTCTTTTGTATTTACGCGAGAAATGTTGCGAAATGTTTTCAAAATGCATATCGTTTCGTACACGGAGCGTTTGCTTATGATCCTTTTGTGTACATATATACACACGGCTCGAGAGCGGGGGACGGTTTGAACGAAATACTATGTCGGCGATGAAGGCGGGGGGAAGCGAAGAGAGGAGAGCGGAGGACAACATCGATGAAGGAGAGGGGGAGGGACATCGATGCGCGCGGATCAAGGTTACACTTGGGCACCTCTTCTACGTCATCTCTCGTTGAATTTACACTCGATATACGCATGCGCGCAGCATACACACATACACAAACGCATCCTTGAAACGAATCATTCATTATCGCATTCATGTAACGCATCGCGTATATCATATTTTTAAGAATGCAAAGGCAAGCAGGATTTTTTTCTTTTTGATGATGTGAAAGAATTCAGAGGATTAGAAAAGCAAAATCAGATCTTTTTCGCAAATGTACGATTTTGCAATATACCGAGTGTATCGCATTGTTTTAATTTTTGATTTTACGAAATATAAAAGTATACGAAAACAATTAGAAAAAATATTCACTGGAACCTATACAACTTTTTCCTTTATACAATTCCTTGACAACTTATAATCGACATAATTTTTAGAATTTATTAATTTACAAATTCGGCTTACTTTCCGCAATGTGGCCAAAGTGAGACTCGTTTGCTTTTTGCTCCGCTTCCTCGTATTTCATTCTTAACATATCTGGTTCTGCCAAGAATCTCTGCCATAAAATGTCCTTCTCGCGTTCTAAATTGGTGTCCATCCTCTATAATATGGCAATCATTAGTAAACGATATATAATCTTAATGATTCATTAAACATGCATAGCTGTACCATTCGTTCTTTGAATTGATTCCTAATTCTTGTTAAATCTTTTTGTATCTCCTGAACAATTGCGGATATTTCCTCGTATTTATTATTTATTTCATATGAAAATGGCCTGAAGCTGATTGTTGATCCATTTTGTATTTCAGCCATATAATCCTTGTTAACTTCATCCTCTCTAATTTTGTAGGAATCATATAAAGATAACACATTAGTAAAGATAACATTATGAGATTACTAAAGAAAATAGACAACTTACAATTTTTGTAATTCATCGATTTTATTATTTATATGTGTTTCCAATATAAATTTCTTTTTCTCCCTATTGTCGACTATTAGGTTATCGTATCTTTTCAATGCCGAAGAGAATGACTCGTCCGAGATATCGTTATCGAGCATCATGGAGATGAATATTTGATTAAATACATTATAAGTTTTTGGAGATTGTGCTATGAGAGTTGCATATTCGTCTTGTTGTTGTTGCATGACTTCCTACACATTTATGTTTCACATATGAATAATGAAATCATTTTCATTAAAATAATGAAAGAGGCAACGAGAAATGATTTAATTACTTACACATCTTGTAGAAGACAGTTTATATTCTGTGCTAATGTAATGATGAGCATCGGCAATAAATTCAGCAACCTCGCGTAGAGAACAAAACTGTATTTCCATTAACATACACAGCAAATCGACATAAACATGTCCATGCTCCATTGCGAGAGAGTGTAAATTCTTGAGTGTTTTGAGACGAGCTTTTCTGCGTTCGAGACGAGCAAGTGCATCATTTCTCACGATCTTTAGCATTTCCATTTCTGCGAATTGTACTACTTCTTCAGGAAATTGTTGATCTCGCAAAAGTGTAACATTCTGCTCCAGAAAATCCCTTTTCATGCTTAACATTTGTATTTCATCACTGTTAAGTAATAAAATGTTACATTTAAATATAGAATAGTTTCTTCTTTTTTTTCCATGCTCAAATCATAAAATGACATTTATTGTTTTAAATGCCAAAAACTCTAAGTACTTTAATGTCAATAGTATTATTACTTACTGTATTTTACTATCCCCAGGCAATTTCAAAACTCCGCCATTATAAATATCTTGCATACATTGTAACATTGTTGTATAAGACTCCTCTTGAACACTAGCATTAATTTCTTCTATTTTAGAATTCGTCAAGCTATATAACAAATAAAATATACAAATCGAGTAGGGTTATATTACTTAATAAATTCTTTTTAAAGAATAGTTATACTTACATAGTCTTACACAAGGATAACACATGCATTCTTTCGTCAACTTGTTTCTCCCTACTATCATTTATTAGAGATGCATAATCCGAATCCTCTTCTTGTTCTTTCTTACTAGCATTTCCAAATTGCTTTTTTATATAAATAGCCAGGTAATGATTGTAAAGTTCTACTTGTTTAATAAACAGGTCTATCGGCATTTGTGACCACAATACTGGACTGCCTTGCTAGAAAAGAAAATGAAAATTAATAATACAGTTGAATAATGAGAATCGATTATAGAGCTTGAAATAATTACATTTTTAATAGCATCTGCATATATATTCAGAAGATTATGAACATCCTGAGAGAATTGACAATTGTTTTTGTCAAATTCTTTCAGAATTACACTGCAATCATCATATGCTTTTTCCGTTTCAATCTGCTCTTTATCCAACATAGTTTCCGCTTCTTCAATGTCGTCATCCAACTTATTCTCAATGTCCCTATAACAAGTGCATGTCTTTAAATCATTTAATTAATATACAAATACCCCGAATATACAATTTCATATGTTCTTACTTTAGATTTTTTATACTATGTTTCAATGTATAAAGATATTCCTCGCTGTCTCTATAGCTTTCCTTCAATGTTTCGTATTCTACAAACAAATCTTCTCTACATGTTTCATCTACACTGACAAGCTGGAGCAAATCTGGACATTCTCTGGTTGCTTCCTCCAATGTAGCATCCAATTCTTTATCCTCTAGCCATTCGCCGGCATTTTGCAACATATCTTTTCTGTAAAGAAATAGATAGATTATGAGAATTCTAATCTCCATTCAACCGTGACTATGCAAGGGGAATCTTACAATTTTATTTCCTCAATAGAGAGAACATTAGCGCTGCTCACATTCTTACAGAACCATTCCAGAAAAGGCTGCATGTTAGGATCATCGCAGACCTTGCTCAAAATTTCCGATGTGATCCCCGATGACAAATCCGGTCGCAGCCCGCGAATCTTATCATAGATCTGTTTACCGGTAACGCTCATCTTGTCTTTTTTATAAATTATCTATCGCAAATTCTTTTTCTCCTTCTCTTTTCCGTTTCAACTTTCCAAAAATATTGTGTTTTACAATGTCATGGCTAGACAACTTGCCTAGTTCATTTCGTGACATACACTTTCGATTCTTCGTGCGAAGAAATTTTGAACGGTTTTCCGTTTAGTACTCCGTATAAAACCATAGAAAACTGAACGCGACGATGCGACCCATAGTCGCATATATAGATATCGGAGTGTAGACTCTAAGGATAATATAGTAATCAATCTTACGGTTGACTTAACTCATGTCGGTAATTATTGACAACATTGTTACCGACCCTTTTAACAAAAAGCTTTTTTGCTGCAAAATATATATCTTATTCCTTTATTTTAATAATTTATTTATATTATACCATGATCCTTTAACAAATCTAAATTTTTCGCAGAAGATATTAAGACTGTCAATCTGATGAATTGACTCTATCAATCGACCTTGACGGTCGCCACTAAAGGAAAAAAAATTAATTAAAAAGTTTAATATATAATAAAATGTATAAACAGTATAATAATTAAAAGATTGATATATATAGTAGTATTATTGTGTAAATAGTAGTAACATTATCACAAAAATAGTATGATGTATATTAAATAAATTATTATAATTAAAACAAGATAATATTTTATATTAAAGCACCTGCAGATGATTTGGTTATTAAATTAATATCAGTTATAATTTGAAATTGTAGTTTTAACGGATATTTCGAGAAAATTACATGAAAAGAAAGAGTCTTCTTATTACTAGAATATATTTTATATTTACAAAGGTGTCATATATAGGAAGTGCAACGCAGTCAGAGCGATGCAGCGTGTCGAGATGTTCGAGATGTCATTCGGTGCGTCGTGAATGGCGATAAAGAGAGAGAGAGAGAAAGAGGGGAGAAAAAAATATTTAGAAGTATTTTTCTTCTACAATCGCTTATTCGTGCGACGAGGAAAATCCTTCTAAATTAAAGTTAATCGCAATGGATCGTGAATTAATTGAGAAGTTTATCGAAGTAACGGGTGAGTATTTTACCGATATATTAGCGCAAGAATGTCATCACATTCAGGTTAAATAGTGCAACAAGCAAATATAAGAATCGCGAAAATATAAACACACATCCTCCTGTACTTAAATGAATTAAAACAATGTCGAGGATCATTATCGAAAACGATATTTCGCTACAAATGGATGTATCCGATGCCAAGTATTGTCGAATTTCGTGTTTCTGTTAGGCGAGACCGAGGCAACGGCACAACAGTATCTAGCATTGGCCGATGGAAACGTGGAGATGGCGATTAGTCTTATGTTCGAAGGTGGCAGACCACCGGAGATTGAGAATTCAAATCCTGAGCCACCAGTGAGAGCTCCTATATTACCTACGCAAGAAATACTGGTGCCGCCAGAGCCAATGTGTTCATTTCCACGATTGTCAAATGTATACGATAGATTCAGAGACTTTGCAGTAGAAACCCGTATGTATTATTGTATGACATATATTAGTGGGCATATGTTACATATTGAGTAATGGAAATTGATGCAGAGCGACAAGAGGAAGAAATGACTCATAGAGTAACCGGCATGAAACATATTTCTCAAAAGAAATCAAAACGATTAGAAGATTTATTCCGACCACCAAGCAATATTCTCTTTTTGGGATCTTTCATGGAGGCACGAGACCATGCAAAAACTCTGAATCGTTGGTTACTTGTCAATGTCCAAAATCCACAAGAATTTAGTTGTCAAGTTCTTAATAGAGATGTATGGCCCAATCAACAAATTCAAGAAATTGTGAAGGATCATTTTGTTCTGTGGCAAGTATGTCATGTCAGATTATAATGCCATTTTCAGATTTTGATTTATTGCCATATTCTACTTATCATTTTTCTTTTTAAATCAGGTTTTGTGCAGTACATCGGATGGAAGACGTTACATAGATTTTTACAATGTAGTGGCATATCCATATCTTGCAATTGTAGATCCCAGAACAGGAGAATGTATGAAAACCTACAATAACATTACTGTGGATAGTTTGATCTCTGATTTGAATGATATGTTAAGCACACATGCATCTCCAGAGAGTGCTGTACAGGTTACGTCTAATTCTAAAGATTGGAATAATTTTCCTACAACACCTCCAAAACGGAATATTCTAGCTGATCAAATAAAAAATGTTAGTTATTAAATACTATCACTAATAATCTCAACTTTTCTTTTATATATATGAATAATTTTTTCATTATAATATTTCCGTTTTCAGGATTGTGGTCCTAGTAGTAAAACTTCTAGACTTTTGTCGGAAAAAATAACAAATTTAGGTTAGTATTTGTTTAATTTAAATGAATAATATTACTAAGAGTAATTATGTATACTATATTGTCGATTTCTTCACTTTCACAAAACTGCATATCTTATCATAAAGCGCTATTTTGCTCAATTTGTTTAATAATATTATTATATACAGAAACTGAAAATATTACATCGGATAACATTACAAGTTCAAGTATCCCAAGTAGCAGTAACACTGCCTTTAATAAAAAAAGAAAACTGAATGAATGTGAGACTAAAGATAAACAATTAAAGGACGAAAAATTAAAATCGAATACAGTTAAAGTTGAAACAAGTAAGTATGATATATCTACTATAATTTACAAAATATTTTTCATATATCCTTTAATATTCACACTACTATTCCATAAAATTATTTTTAAATCCAGGCGATGAACCCTTTTTACGGCTCTGCTTACGATTGCCAAATGGTACAAAGGAAACAATATCTATGTGTGCAACAGATACTATAGAAGTATGTTTTCGAAATATCTTTTTAATACTGCAAAATTATGCAATGTATAAGAAAAATATGTAATATAACTGTAATCGTTTTTAGGACTTTTTGATTAAAATGGAGGAAATGGGATTTCCATCAACAGAACATACCTTTTTGGTGCCATTCCCAAAAACAAACGTTGGTGCATTGTCTTCAAATATGCGTCTATTAGATACAATCTTATTTCCAACAAACACAGTATTCATAACGAAGATACAGTAACATACCACAAGTCAATTATTTCTTCCATTATAATTCGTCAATTTAGAAACTTGAATTTGAAAAATATTCATCGATATTGTTCCAACGTATTTCTATGAAAACTTGTAAAAATTATATACTGTGTTTTATAGGTAAAAATTTAAATTCTTGACATTAACAAATACATTAAAAATCTCGTATGTTTATATAGATTTAAATATTAAAGTGAAGAAAGACAGGATACTTATATGAACCTATGTTGAACATAGTGAAGCACTGCCATTCAGTGTTCATTTCATATTAAAATTTGCATTCTCTATATAATCTTTCTATTCTAGTATAAGGTTTGATATACTCATGATATATTATAAGAGAAATCGTCAGTTACATACATTATATATAGCCACTATTGCCCAAACATTTTATCTCATTATTACTTATTTGTTTTATTATTACCGTTTCTGCAAATCTTGCAAGTGCCGTCCATAACATGTGTACAGCCGTCTCAAAAAAAAAAAAAGAAAAAAAAATGTACTTCCTGCAAAATATTTCAATGTCGCAACATTGAATGACATATGCGACAGATTGTTACATATGTCATAATTATAACATGTTACTACAAAATAAGATATCTTAAAGAACGCTGTATGAAAGAAAATTTTCATCACATACACACGCAATGTGATTCAAAGTATAAGCCAAATAAGGTTTCATATTATGAATCGAAAATAATTCAATGTTATTCTGTATGTTGCTATAATATATCACATGTATCAATATATGTGATCATCATGATAATTTGTTCAAGTTAAAACTGCCGATATAATTAGTTATAAGGTAGATATAAATTGAAATGTTTTACAAGTATTATAAATAAGATAGTAATATACACATAGTATATACTAATATTACATGCACTGACGACACACAAAAACATTACACAAATGTCAAGTATCTGTATTTTTACTTATTTTTCAGTGTATATCATAATTCTGTAATATACATAGTAAAAAAAAGGATATTTGATTGAATTTATTATGTATGCGTGTGTATGTATATATATTATGCATTTAATTAAATTATATTATTTCAGTTCATATCTATTATATAAAATTCTTGTTTATGCAGACAATTTAATAATTTATTCATCTAAAGATATATTATTTTAACTTTCAATATAGTATATATTCATTGTAATTAACAAATATATATATATATATACACATGATTAATATTTTTAATATTAAAGGATTGGATATGTGCAGGATTCATACATTAAAATACCAAATTAAAATAAAGATGATATAATATAACAAAATTTCGCGAAAACAACTTGCCCTATGTGTTTTTTACATATATATTACTTATTTATATATGTACATATATACAAAATATCTTACTTTATATACATCATGTAGATATAGCTTCAGACATCTTGATCTCTTCATATACATTTAACACACACACACACATATATATATATATATA